ATTAGGTGTTCGTATGCAAGGGATTTTTCCACACAAAAACGACGTATTCGGCCGAATTTTGTTATCGGTTGGCTTAATATAACCCCAATGGACCGTATTTTTGTGAAAGATTGGTATTTTTGTCCTGATTTGCAGGAAACTGAAAAACGCGTTTCACAACTTGTCTCTTATTTAGTTTTATGCGTCATTCAAGATGGCGGCCCCCATATAGTAAATATCGTATTTATTTTATTATCACGTGTGCGCCAGCTGACTGTGCATACAGTGGTGGCACTGTAAAGAACGTTGGTTACCCGTAGAGTTATTTTACAGAACCAGCTGACCAACTGATTATGGCAGAATTGTTGATCAATTTGCATTATTCCTACTACGGAAATATCCGTATCACGTCGATGTATATAACTGAAAGATGCCTGCAAAAAATTTCCTATGCAGACTTCGTCCAGTACATCAAAAATGAAATTGAATACATAATTAGAATGGGTGTTACTCGATTATTAGTTCTCGACGATGAGAACCAAAAGGTTGTTGTGCCACCAAATAATGCTGATGCTACCTTGATTTTTCAAGATTTCCTTTTTTACAAAACCCTCGCTGTTTTTACACAAAATTCATTTTTATTCAAAATAACATCTCTATGTTTACTTAGTAATCACGTGACTAATTCGGTGGTACATATCACAGACCATTTTTTTTCAAAAGCCAGGAACAAGGTGCTTCAAAAAAATATATATTTTGCCATGCAGCAAAACACTTTTCCCCATGAAAAACGTTTTTACTTTTTAGAGCATGATAACTCTACCATATCCGTAAACAGCTTATCACTAGCAACACACGATCGCACGTCCAGGAGGGTTGCCGCCGGACATACACAGTCTTCGAGTAGTTTTGTCTAATTTCCCGTCAGTAAATGCTCCATCTTAACGTTTTATAATATTCAACATAGTCTATAACGTTGTCATTTTTTTAGTCGCGGATTGATCGCTATTACGCTTTCCTGGCAACCGTTTGACGATATTATAAGCTGTCTGCTTTGAACACCACTTTGATCTCCAATCTCAGCAAATAACAGTCCACAAAAATACAAATCGACAACTCTTGTTCTTACTTCAACTGGTTTTTCGACTCCTTGCTTCTCCATTGCGGTTTTTAAACAATTTGGACAAATGCCGATTTGTAGACACGCAATCAACACGATGACTGACCAAAAGTAACTGAGAACAGACGCGCCACAAATTCTGGGGCATCAGAAAATAAAAAACATTGTGGGCAATATCTGTCAATCATTCCTCTGATTTGCAGTCGATGTTTATATTTCTAGTTGCAACTCATGTAAATGTGAAAACAAATTGTGTAACCTATTGTAGAATGATATCTATATCTAGCACTACTTCAGCATCAAATCAATGCCTGGAATTGCTGTAAAATTCAGAATAATAAAAGAGAATAATCACATGTTACATGTATTTAAAAGCCCACTGAATCATTTAAAATGTAAACATTACAATCCAAAATGAATTAAAATCCTAGCTGTGTGCTCAGTAAATCCTGTTAAATTCACTTTGTTCTTGGTAACATTTATAATTGATTTATGCCTGCCATTCAGCCTATAATGATGTCATTACAGTTATACATTGATTGAAGACATCTAACCTGTCTTATCAAAGACAGGAACTGTGAGATTTATATATTGTTATGAATCATATATTTTGTACATATATTTATATTGCAAACTGTTATATAACAGGCATGCATGTATAAACTGTGTACAATGTCAGTTGATTTTTTCTTGAGAGCATTGCCTTTGAATGCACTCACGTGGCCATGGTAAACATACTAAAGTAAATGTAATAGTAAATCTTTGCAATGGACACTGAATTCTGTGATATTATGTTGCCAAAGGTCATCCACAGGATACTTAGATACTTAGTCTGGAACAGGTCATAAAAACAGATCTTAGACGGACTTGCTGTTTCTTGGTTCATACACGTTTTCTTCATATGAACTTTTTTGACCTCTTACAATGTAACCTGTGCTAAGAAACTGTTTTCTGGACACAACTCCATTCCCTGTGTCTATGGAAGTATTTACATTGTTGTATTGTTATCTGTCAAGAAGTAGCTCTATTGTGTTTGAAATCATTGTTTAAACAAGTTATATCAATTTAGATCTCGTAGCCTAGTACTACCGTTATGTGTGTTTTGTTTTATGCATGTATTGAGTTGAAAAGATGAGATATGTGGGCAGGAATACAATGTACACTAACACTAGTATATCCATGATATAACCACACTAAGAGTAAAAATGGTTAATTAGAGGTTTTAAATGGCAAGCAAGGGCATTTGTGAGAAAAATTAGCATATTTGGTGAGAGATAATAACAGAGTGTAAGCAAGGTTATATCTGCTGCCAAGTACATGAGTGTTCCATTCATAACCTCATCATAACATGCTCAGACAAAAAAATGATCATCAAAATAGCTGTTTATATATACATGTATACGTTGCTATATGTAAATTGTGAATTCTTCCAATGTCTTTTCTTGCATTATATTACATGTATTGTAAGAGGTGACAAAAAGTCAAGGGTTTTCAAACACCTAATAGTGTTATAATTCTGAAAATGTAATACCCTGATTTTCAATATCTTGTGTTATATGAAGACATTCACCTGAATTTGAGTTATGTTTATCCTCTATATAGTGCGTGTTTTAAATTAAATTCATTACAAAAATACACAATAATATTAACATTTTTGGCATAAACAATTCATAGAGGCACAGTGCATGTATAACATTAAAATCAACTTTCTATGTTACAAACTTAACTTTTATGTCCAAATATATCAATTTGGCAGGGGCATGGTAGAGTAGTTGCTGTAGATGTTGGCAGAGGTAGGTGTGATCTCCTTAGCCTACATACATATACATTGTAGTTCAGTGAACTGTTCAGTGATAATACCAGTGAACTGTTCAGTGCTAATACCAGTGAACTGTTCAGTGCTAATACCAGTGCTTTCCTAGAAATGTTATCACACTGTTACATGTACATCCAATTATAAAATGGGTATGTAATTGTTATATGTAATCACCAGTAGTATTCAGCTTCTTCGGTTCTTACTTTATCTGATATGATTTCACCAGGCACGCATTAATATCTATAGTGAATGGGGTACAGTTTTATGCAGGTACATTTTGAACAGTTTGTGCTAGAGTCCATTAAACTTTTAGGCATTTGTGCCTAGTGTACATAAAACTAGCAAATGAATATAATTACATTAAAGCAACTCCAATGTATAATTTACACCCTGTAATTTGTGCAATATTTTACATAAATCTGGATGTGCTGAGTGAGTAAGCTTTCAGGGTCATAGGTCAGTATATTCAATACTATATATGCTAATGCTAAAAAAGAACATTAGTTTAACAGAATTTAATCTTCCCGTTTACCCGTATTGTACCTTGTATGTGTATTTTCTAACCCTAATACATGCATGTAAGATAAAAATAAGTAAACTAAAATCCAAAAACTCGTGCTGTGTTCCCCTTCAGAAAAAGTGTAATTTGCATAATACTGAATATGATAATTACCAATGTTGTATTCATTGTAATTATGCTCGTTGTTTATTCTAAATTACAGTATAGGGTAAGTTACCCTAGATTACAATATTTGCCATGTGTGTCTCAATTCAAAATATTGTAATGATCCAGTAAACCATGCATTTTTATTGAACATGTGCTTATAATGGAAAAAATATGGTATCATATTTGATCATTAGTTAGTAGGGTAATAATCATATTTGAATGCAAATAAAACAATAGATGCATTGTTTGTGTGTGCTTATAGCAAACATTGTAGTTTTCATTTACTCTGATTTATTTTGTGGAAAATATCATTTTCCATATTTTTTTGCATACAATCTGTCGGCAGTCATTGAAAATAAGTGACATGCAATGCACCATAATCAGTGAAAATACAATATTTGTATGCAAATGAGTTATGAGGCCTCAAATCAATTAACCAGACAGCTCTCTAGAATAACTATAGGTCATTTTCTAAATCATTTATATACATGATTGGTTTGATGAACTTGACATTTCCCTCAATGTGCCCATATCAGGTTTGTCAACCACAGTCAGAGCTGCAATGAAAAGAAAACTAAAATGCTATTAGAATATTTGAAAACAATTGTAAGTGATTGACATGTGTACAATAGAAACACAATTACGATTGTGGCGCTTGTGACGTGCTGACACTAAGTTGCTTATTGTGACTAAAAGGATATAAAGACATTGATCGTCTTGCTTTGCCAGAATGAATGTTTATTTTTACACTCACTAGCTTGAGCTGGTTACTGATCAGACTATCTGTTTATTTATCTGTAGCTACCGGTACATTGTTAGTACAATTAGAGGTAAAATGATAGAAAATAATTGATGTAGTAAATAAATATTGATGAAATGTGGTGAATTATGAATTAATTATTTCAATGATTTATTTTTACTTCCTTGATTATTGTATTACAACACATGTAAAAACATATCAGACTATCGATTATTAATTATTTACCAATGTTGCAATTTGCTATTTAAACTCAAATAAGTTTATGATATATTGCCATAATGTTTTGTGTAACCTTTGCTCTCAAATTAGCATACAATGTATATGTAGAATCAGTTCATGTGTTTAGGTTTAGGTTTTTACTTGAAAGCAGCAAAATATCTATTTTGGAAAATATAATCTTATTTTAGCTCCGCTATCGACTTTGTCGAGCGAAGCTTATCATATGAGTGATTGTCGTCAACTTTACAATTTCAACTTCTTCTTCAAAACCGCAAGTCAGAATGTTTTCAAATTTGATATGCAAGTACCTTGGATTGTTCTTTCTCAGATTTGTTCATTTCATGTCAAAATCTCATATTCTCTATTTTTGGTGAATATTTTTGTCCTTTTTGGTAAAAAGTGATATTTTCGACTTCTTGTTAAAAAAACCCCAAGTCCAATTGCTTTGATATTACATATATAGGTACTGTACATGTAGACCTCTCTCAGATTTGTTCATTTTGTAATGATATCTTTAATTCTCTAATTTTGTTGAATATTTTTGTCATTTTTGGTAAAAAGTGATATTTTTGACTTCTTGTTAAAACGGCAAGTTCAATTGCTTTGATATTACATATACAGTTACTACATGTGGACCACTCTCAGATTGTTCATTTTGTAATGATATCTTCAATTCTCTAATTTTGGTGAATATTTTTGTCATTTTTGGTTAAAAGTGGTATTTTCGACTTCTTGTTGAAAACTGCAAGTCTGATTGCTTTTATATTACATATATACATGTAGGTACTACATGCAGACTTCTTTCAGATTTGTTAATTTCGTGGTGATATCTTCAATTATCTAATTTTGATGAATATTTTTGGGGAAAAGTGATATTTTTGAATTCTTGTTGAAAACAGCAAGTCCTGTTGCTTTGATACTTTACATATTGTTCATTTTCTAATGATATCTTCTGCTCTTTAATTGCAATGTGCATTGCTAACAGCGGAGCTATCTCAGCTGACAGGCTGCTTATTTTAAGTCTCTATGTGTGGTATGCACATGAGCAAAATATGACGAATGTTATACTCCATGGACTGCATAGATCATTGTCACATGGAATAAATGCTTAACCTTTGTACACATAGCAAAATTATAAACCTACTCATGAAGACCCACCACTTGGGTTAAATCTTACTAATTATTGACAAATACTTGAAAGAAAACCTGTCAAGTGTGCTAGAGTTTGTCATCACAGTGGTGTGTAATGTAAACTGAAAAGATAAACCATATCTTGGCATTAAGACGATAATTGTAAAATAAGTGCTGTGTACTTAAACACCAATAGTATCTAATGATAACGACACACCTATGTTAATAATTACTAGTGTAAGATAAACTTGACATTCCTGTCACTTTGAACAATCCCTGTAACTTTTTCACCACCTGACTTTCTCACACAAATTATTCTGTCATTTGTTCTTCTATATTTCTGGAAATGAAGCCTAATTCAGACAAAGTTTGAGTCAATTTTCAGTTTTTACTCAAATAATTTGGCCATTTTCATTCCAATCTTCGGAAGCAAATTGCAGGCTATAAACAAGTCTATTTTGTGAATTTGTGATGAAAAGAGACAACTGGTGGTGAGAAAGTTGATGATGAGTGGTCTGAGTTTCAAATAGTAGCAAAATACTAGATATGATTCATCTACAGCTGTGAGGCATAGATATTATCTATATTGGTAATAATCTGCCGATCACATAAGTGCCAAGAACAAATTGCTGTCAACTTGTGTGGCCAACACTGCCATTGCTGATACTTAGGGGGGAGGCATTATCACTGCCATTGCTGATGACTTATGTGGCCATCATCACTGCCATTGCTGTCAACTTGTGTG